CAAGATGATCTGATGGAGAAAAAGACCAGCATGGATGAACAGGGAGCTCTCCCTGATGCTCTAGGAGAATCTACCTTCTGTGGATGAAGGGACAGGCAACAGGGGAGAGTACAAAGTTAATAGGATGTGCAGAGAGAAAATTAGAAAGGCAAAAACCCAGCTTGAACTCAGCTTGGCCACTGGGATAAAAGAGAACAAAAAACATTTGTACAAATACATTAAGTACACAGTAAGAGGAGGGCTAAGGAGAATCTCCATCCTTTACCGGATGTAGTGGGGAATGCGATCACTGACGATAAGGCTGAGGTTCTCAATGCTTTCTTTACGTCTGTCTTTAAAAGTCAGACCAGTTGTCCTTGGGGTACTCTACTCCCTGACCTGGAAGTCTGGGATAAGGAGCAAAATAAACCCCCCACAATTCAGGTGGAAACAGTTAGATACCTGCTGCTGCACTTGGACTGCCACAAGTCCACAGGGCCAGATGGAATTCACCCAAGGATGCTGATGAAGGTGACTACCAAGCCATCATCTAACAGTATTCCTGGTCAACCAGAGAGGTCCTAGAGGATTGAAGGCTTGCCAACATGACTCCCATCTACAAGGGTCATAAGGAGGATCTGGTAACTACAGGCCCATCAACCTGACCTTGGTGCCAGGGAAGGTTATAGAGCAGATCATCCTGAGGGAGATCACATGGTATGTGCAGGACAACCAGGGGATCAGGCCTAGCCAGCATGGGCTCATGAAAGGCAGGTCCTGCTTGACCAACCTGATCTCCTTCTGTAATCGAGTGATCCATCTAGTGGATGAGGGAAAGGCTGTTGACATAGTCAACCTAAACTTCAACAAAGCCTTCAACACTGTCTCCCACAGTATTCTCCTGGAGAAGCTGGCAGCTTCAGGATGTGGTGAGGCGCAGGTCAGCCTCTTCACCCAAGTAACTAGCAATAGGACTAGAAGGAATGGCTTCCAGTTGCAGCAGGGGAGATTCAGGTTGGATATTACTAAGTAGTTCTTCTTCAAAGAGAGCAGTCACGCATTGGAACAAGCTGCCCAGGGAAGTGGCGGAGTCATCAACTCTGGAGGTGCCCAAGAAACAGTCAGACATTGTACTGAGGGACATGGTGATAGGTGGAGAGTTGGACAGGATGATTTTTGAGGTCTTTTCCAACCTTGTCAATTCTACAATTTTATCTGTAAGGTAATGAATTTGAATGCTTGTACATGCTCCTCAAGCTCTCAGAAGAGCAGAAGTGATTTACAGAACTTCTTGTTACCCACAGTTCAAGAGAAAACAAAGCTTTCCAGCTTTTCTAGTACCTCACCTTTGACTGGACTAATCACTGAGCCAACTCCACAAACACACATGAACGAAGAACACATTTTCTTTCTACATCCAAGTTACTCCTGTCAAACTAGCTTAGCAAAACCCTCAGCAGATCCTTCCACCTACTCAGTGGTTATATTTTCTTCAGAGTTTCAGAAGCAAATATATTCTTTGTGAATATTATAATTTAATTAACACTATTACCACTCTACACAGGTCTGATTTTAATACGTTCAAGTCCTAATTATTTGTAGTTCTACTCAATTCTTATTTTAACCGAGTTCACTTTCCAAACATTTGTTTTGCTGTCCTTAACTCTTTTTCCCACATTTTCCCACTCAAGTCTTCACATTCCCATCATATTTTCACAATGTCCATAAACACTCAGTAATGCCAGCTCGCCTTCCCTTCTCTCAGGAAGGTTTGAGACCTACTTACTTCTGAGATTTATTTATTCATCACGATCATTTGGCACATGAATCATCCCCTTGCCTTTATTCACACGACAGGCTCTGAAGATCACTGCTGCACAAACAAGTTCACATAGTCCTCAGCCTGCGAAGAAAAAGGTTCCTCTTTCCACTGACCCTCTGCCAAGCGTGCATCCCCGTGCCCTCCTCTTATCAAGGGTCAGAGGAACAAAAGAGCATCTCCTCCCCAAACAAGAAGCCAAAGGGAACACTTAATTAGTGATAAAACTAACAGGCCTTCTGCCTGGCCTCTCAGCCAGCACCTGTAACCACTACAGCTGCTGTCACCAGCGCCTAGTGACAGCAATTTTTGACAGCTGGTTTAGTCCCAAGCCAGCTGCCTCAAGACTTTTGCCTGGCTACGTCTGTCAATCAGCTATGGTTCAAGATGGCATTCAGACATAGTTTTTTCTATTCTTACTAATTATAAGGTCCGGTAGGTAGCAAGTCACACCTCCAACCAAGAACATTAGGCTGCACTGAAGACAGGGCAACTCATCCCTGAAGTGATAAAAGACAGAGAAGTTAAGCATCTGACAACACTACACAATAGTTCCAGATTTAACCTAAATTTCTATCAGGCCAGGGCTTTGGCCAAAAATTAACTTCAGAGCTTTCTACACAACACTGTTGAGGAGAGCAAGCACAGCACAGGAAGGGATTTGCAACAGAAAAGCAGCGGTTGAGAAGTCCCCAGCTCATATTATTTATGTTTTATCAACTAGGTCCTAAAATGAAGAACACAATACTCACAGCCACCCAATTAACATTATATAGAAACTGCAGGCATCTAAACATAAAGCAATCCTATCATTTCCTAATTAAGAACTACTTTGACAATGAAATGCAGTACCAAACTGCACTTCAGAGCTAGCTTTGAGTGCAATGCTCTGCACAGCTGGATGACACTGACATGCAGCTGAGACATCTCATAGCAGCATCACTATTCCGATTAATCAGCCTGGTACAGAGTCACATATGAGTCATTATTCTGAAGTGTGATGTCAGCGGGTTTGATGTATTTTATACATTACACAAAGAGAAAAACTAGGAAAATCCCATGTGAGGGGATTTACATTTTTGGACAACACTTGCCTAACTGCTGATGTGATGCTCTTGAAGCACTTCCTCTTACAGAAATCCAGCATCAGCAAAAATAACAGTCTCCTCCTTAAACTGGGGAGCATGGAATAACTTAAAGAAAACATACAACAGGAAAAAAGCTTCACAAATTTGACTCATTGAGTTCCATTTACCACAAAGGGGTTAACAACAGTCAGAAAAACCTACAGTTTAAGAGGATCAAAGCTGATTTTAAGAGCACTGAAGCCAAACTCACAACAGATTGAGTCTACTATGACTCCTGACACCGCTGTAAAGGATTTGGCCATTATGAGAAGACAAACCACCATCTTAAAACCAGCTGCAGCTATGTTTGTGCCACAACCAGGCATGGGACTTGCACAAGGTCAGCACTACCATCTTCAAGGCTGGTTGTTTCAGATGTGACAATTTAAAATGTTCATATTGCGACCTGACAGCAGTCCCACTTGGTATGTTGGCACTCCTCTGCCAGCAGGACACGCTGGTGAGCAAAATATAGCAGCTACAGACTGGCAAACAGCAGCATTTGCAGCTGGAGCTCAGCTAGATGCGAAAACTGAACACCCAAGGCACTCCTATGTTGACATATGACCTAGTTTCAAACAGGCAGAGACACACACAGGAGACCCTTCACAGCCAGACTTAACCTCAGTGTAAGGAGCTCAGTCATTCCCCTGGAGTTTTCCTTACATATCTCTGCCAGGGGGTGGGAGGAGGGTTTAAAGATGCAATACAGCTTCATGGCTCGCATGGTCATCCCAAAGCCATGCTGAAGCATGAGCTGTTGCAGGTATACCTTCAACTACAAGCAGCAAGGAAGCAGTCTTATATTATCACCACCCAATTTCCTACAAGAAAGTAGTGGTAGTATTTCTATTCCTGCAAGCTTTTATTTTCACCCAAACTTGATATGGCCAAACATGAGGCAGCAACAAGTTTTCCATGAATGCAATCTCACAGACAATTGGCATTTTTGCTGCTGCTGTTTGTACTGTTTTCCCCCTTGCATTTACATTTTCTTTGCCACAAGGCTTTATTTGGCCATAAGAGGTTTGTTATTTTTTATTTAGCCATAACACTTCTATACTCCAGTTCAACCTGGAAACACAACGCCATTAGAAAAAGCATGAAAAAAAATGAGAAACTCATTTCTTTCTATTTGAAGAAGCTTTCATTATATGCAAGGTAGAAACAAGGAGAGAGCCCATCCCTCCCTGTGGAGACCGCAGTGAGCACTGGGGGCCAACCTGGTACACAGGGGACAGGAAGAGAACCAACAGGGCTTCCCACACCAACCTGCACCACAGAAACCAGTAAAATCCAAGTAAAACTCTGAGTCTTTACAAAAGACCCGGAGACAGAAACAGCTGGGAAGCTGTAAGCGAGGAGTGGAAGGATGAGCCACACAGAAGAAGTAACAACAATTTCACTTAAGTGTTCCTAATTTAAAGCCCCGACCCTGCAGGGACTCCTAAGCACACACGCCTTCCAGCACAGCGCGTACAGCAGCTCTGAACAATGCAAAAACCAGCGCTCACATCAGAGCCTTCTGTGCCCACGATCTCACAGTTGCACATAACGAGCGATCTCTATTCATTACCCCGGTTGGCAGAGTTTCCCGGCCCAAAGGCTCTTAACTAAAGCAGCTGTAGCACCACTGTCACCTCTAATCAACTGGAGCACAACTCCCAGCTCCCGTTTTGCAACGGGGCTCAGCCGACACCTGAGCAGACGTCACACGCGACACACGTTAGGATGTAAACCCAGCGGAGCGCCGGCAGGGTCCGTCGCCGCGACGCGCTGCCCGAGCTCCCGGTACACGCCCCGACTCGCAGAGCGGCGCGGGGCGGCTGGCTGGGCGCAGGGAAAAACCTACCGGGACCACCGGTGGGCGACAGCGACGAGCGTCCGTACTTCCGAACACGCGACACGCACTTTCTGCTCGCGGTAATTCCGGCCGCTGGCCCAATAACGCCAAACGACGGAGCAGCGGGAGCCGAGGCGCGGCCCCGCGGCGTTCGCAGCCCTCCGGCCCGCCGCCCGCTGCCGCCCGCTCCCGACCGCCGCCCGCTCCCGCCCCGGCCGCCGCCGCCCCTCACCGAGGCCGCTGATCTCGTGGCGGAGGCCGGTGCGGCTGCGCTCCTCCGCTATCGCCCGCAGCATCAGCTGCAAGGAGCGGTCCGGCTCGCCGTTGGCCTCCCCGTCCCGCGGTGCGGCGCGGCCGCCGCTCCCGGCAGAGGCCATGCTGCTGCCACCGCCGGCGATGATCTCATGTCAGGCCGCCCCCGCCGCCCGCACGGCTCTCCCCGGTGGCGGCGGCGGGCGGAGCCGGGGGCCGCTCTGTGGCGGCGACAAGAGCGCCGAACCGAGCCGCTCCTCTCCACTCGCGCAGCCCGACGCTCCCCGGCTGCCAGCGGCGAGTTCCCCGAGCTCTGCCCTACTCGACGCAGCCCCCGGCCGAAGCCGCCGCGGGCACCGCCCTGCCTGGTACGGCCCGGCCCGGCCCCACCGCTTCCTCCATCGGCAATCGCGAGCACCGCCCCGCCCCGCATCAACCAATGGTGCGGCGGAGGGCGGGGAGGAGGGCGGGGTGTGAGGCAGGTCCCCGCCTCCTGTGCCGGTGGTGTTGGCAACTACAGTTGAGCAGTGCAAGGTTAAGAAGCCGGACCAGGTGGAGGGTCGTCTCGCTGCCACCTGAGTACCTGAAGGAGCGGCCTCGAGTCTCCCCTGCTCCTTCGATCAGGTGCTGCAGCTGCTGAGGGCGCTGTCCTGCAGAACTGAGGTCCCCTGTGGTTGCCAGCAAACCCCAGGGACCATCTCACCCTCTGGTAATGGACAACTGGGGTTTCTTGCACTGATGTAAGTGAGATAGATAGCTAAAAGCATCGCTGCGTTAGGGTGTATGTGTTGTACAGCAGAAATCTCGAGTAATGTAATACTTAAGCTGAGTAAGTACTAGCTGAGTTAACGTTGTCTTTTGAATTAGTCAATAATGGTCAAGCTTTGCTACGCCTACATAAATAACTTGTTCCAACTATGTGCAAGTCTGCATTTTTCTTGCTGTGCTTGTTTTAGTAGCAGCTAATAGGGATAGCTTGCAGTGCACATTAACAAAATCGCCAGAGAGTACCTAGCAATTAAAAGGGGGTTGGAAGTCAGTAGATATGGGCTTATTTAATGTATCTGAATGTATTTTTAATAGATGAGGCGATGCTATATATGCCTTGCATTGCTGACGCTGTCAAGGCTTGTTTACATACTTAAAGCCTGTTAGAGATCTGAATTACATAAATACATCAAGCAGGAAAACAATGTTCCTTTGTAATTCTGAAATTTTCAAAGTCTCATTTTAACCTGCTATGAACATGAAAAGTACCTTCACTTTTAAATATTCTAGCTTTATTATTTTTGGTAAAGCTTTAAAACAGCTGCTTGCAGCAAATGAATGTTAGATCAACTCTACAGATGCAAGACATAAAAAGCAGCTTTCTTCTGAAGAAATAATTTGCTCAAAAATCCTAATCATATCCTAGTTACGCATTGGGATATCTCCTCCCCTCTTTTTTTTTTTTTTTTTTTTTTAATTTTTGCTGCTTTCTGCTGAAGGCATGCACGTTGTTCAGTGGGCCTTCAAGTGAGTGTGCATTCAAAGGTTAATTCTGCCATTTTTACTTAATTGCCTACCTAACTACATCAAGGCATTTAGACTTAGGAAAGAACAGCTTTGGGCCTCCCGTTATGAAATGTGTTATACTGTGCAGGTTGGAATATGCTCCAAAATTACTTTTGGAATCTTACCATGTACAGTACAGGACTAATTCTGCTCTGAAGATGAAGTCTACAATTAAAGCTTGCGAAAATACTATCTTTAGAATGTTATAAAATTTTTAGCTAAAATTATCCGTTTAGATGCTCCTCTGAATGCAGTACAGACCATTATAAGGTCATGTATTTGTGAAGTTAGAGGTGTTTCATCTGTTCAGCTTTCCTCAGCCCTTCTGCCCCCTTTCTGTACTATTCTTGTCATACCTGTCTCTAATTCCATTAGTTAACTGCCTTGGGTTATGCTGAATGGAAGCCAGAGGTGCTCAGCTTTGCACTGTAAGAGTGGAAACATGTCTGAACTCATACAAACAGCTTTTGAACTCCACTGATCCCTCTCTTCTTGATCAAAAACAACTGTGCATTCTGTGCCTTTTATTCTAGGTTGCTCCTGTGCTGTTCCTGAGAGTGCAATTATCTTAATTGGATTGACATGTGAACCATGGCCTTTGTGATAACAGGCTCCTGGTTTTATAAGCTACTTGCACATAATCCTTGTTTCATTGTTTTACTTTAACTGTATCCATGTTGTATCCAGAAACACCTCACTACTTACAAATGCTCCCCAAACCCCCCATCAGTCCAGCAAATTTGAGGTCCAGGAAGAAATACATTAAGTTTTGGGTTTATACAGCTTTTAATTTCATAAGAAGAAATGGGCAGTCCCTTAATAAAACCAAATCACAGGAATGCCAATCTGAAGATGGCTTTGCAGTCAGATGGCAGGGATTTGATGAAAGAGCTAAAGTAATTGGGAAGCTGCTTTAGACAGCAGAGATAACATGGAGCTTTGCACAGGCCAAGTATCTATATAGATAAAGATAGAGAATCCCAACTTGGAAGGGACCTACAGGGATCACTGAGTCCAATTCCTGCCTCCACAAAGGATCACCCAAAATCCAAATGCTATGTATGAGAGCATTGTCTAAGAGCTCCTTGAACTCTGGCAGCTTGGGGCTGTTATCCAAAGTCTGTGAAGAAAGCTTTCTTATCCATTGTGGTGTTAGAAAGCAGTAGTATGTAGTTTATCCTTTCATCCCCCAACGTATATTGATGGTGGGGTTTGCCATGACCCAGGTGCTTGGCTTTATTGAACCTCATGATGTTTACCCAAGCCTACAGCTTGAGCCTGTCTAGGTCTCTCTGGATGGCGTTCTGTCCCTCAAACATGTTTACTGCACCATACAGCTTGCTGTCATCTGCAAACTGGCTGAGAGTGCACTCAATCCCACTGTCAGTGTCACTGATGAAGATGTTAAGGAGCACCTATCCCACTACTGACCACTGATGTCCATCCAGACATTGAGCCATTGGCAACCACTCTTTGTGTATGATCTCAGAACCAGTTCCTCATCTATTGAATGGTCCACTGGTCAAATCCATATCATTCCAATTTGGAGAGACGGATGTTATGGGGAACTGCGTCAAAGGCTTTATTGAAGTCCAGATAGATGACATCTATGGCTCTTCCCTTGTCCACTGACTCAGTTAGTGCCATTATACGAAGCCTCTAGGTTAGTCAGTTAGGATCTGCCTTTGATGAATCATGCTGATTATCCCATATCACCTTCCTCTGTTCCATGTGCCTTAGCACAGCTTCCAGGAGGATCTGCTTCATCATCTTCCCTGGCAGAGATGAGGCTGACAGGTCGGTAGTTCTCTGGGTCATCCTTTCTGCATTTTTTAAAAATGAGTGTGACATCATGTTTGTTCCAGTCTCCAGGGACTTCAGCTGACTGCCATGACTTTTCAAATACCATTGAGAGTGGCTTGAGTGACTGTGTCAGCCCATTCCCTCAGGACTCTGGGATTAATCTCATTGCAACCTACAGATTTATGGATGTTTGGGTTCCTCAGGCAGTCATAAACCTGATCTGCATTTACAGCAGGAGGGGCATTGCTCCCGTTTCCCATCTTCTGAACCATCCACTCAAGGGCTATGTGTATAGCAGTCAGTAGTGAAGACAGAGGAAAAAAGTTGTTGAATACTTCGTCTGTTACTAGATGACAGGTCTGGTTAAGGAGAACCAATGGTACATCCACAGTGGCTCAGAAATATTAGTCAGTGCTGTGAACTGACCTTGTGTAACACCAGTCTGCACCTATGCAGTTACCACTGCTGGGATCTCCTGTCTATTGTCAACATCTAATAATGTCAGAAGCTTGTCAAATCTCTTTGTAACAACAGACAGTTTCAGCCCATCCTAAAAAGAAAGTTAAATCCTATCAGGCAGCAATAGAGAGTTTTAAAGAATTACTTGCTTGTAGAAGAGATCGGTCATGCACAGTTTACAGAGGATGTAATGGTTAACTTAATTCTATGGGAAAATTATGCAATAACTTCATTAAAAAAAATGAATTTTCAGCAGGAAATCCTAAGTAAAATTTTAATTAGAAACTGGTGTTTTAAAATCTTGACAAATTTTGTGAACAGTTCTAGAAATGGAAGAGCAAATTAAAATTTGAAAATGGGAAATGATTGTATGAATACAGGTTATTATGGTTGAATCTTTATTTTTAGAATTCCATAACAGGGGCTGTTTTTAAAGTTGTTTGTTTGGGTTTTTTTTGCTTTTTTTTTTTTTTACTGTTTTATTTTAATAAGTTATCTTAATTATGCAATATTTTACAGTTACGTTAGCATTTCAGTATTTCAGTGGACATTAACTATTATTTTAAATAATATACAAAAGGGAGAATGTGAGCAGAGAGTAAAAGATAGTTATTTGTAGACTTGCTTTTATGGGAACTACTCTAATAAAACTCATAAACAATACCCACAGTGAGTTTTCTTTGGATTTGTTTATTTAAGTAAACATTCTGATTATTCAATCTCATTCAAGACAATTCATATAATTTTCTATATATTTTTACCACTAAGACAAAGTTTCTCTCTAGATCACATGGCTGATCTCTGCTCAGACCCTCTTTCCCTGATATCTAATCAGGGTATTTAATCACCTTTGCAAAATATGCTGTTACTCAAATATGTATGAGGTAAAATATTAAGTAAATAATAAGCAGATAAGGGCAGTCAAGTTTCAAGTTAGAGAAATCCTTTCCTGTTTAGAGAAGAAAGAACTTTAAAACCAGGTAACTGCATGTGAACAGATGAGCTTGTGCAAAACCTGAACTCAAGTTTGTAAAAGGAAGGTACTGATGCAGTGAGGACATAACTGTAATATTTAGTCATTTAGTGCTTGAATTTCTCTAGGCCTCTGTAAAATATAGATGGTAAATGTAGAATCAAGATGGTAAAGTAATTCATCTATAAGAAGAGTTCAATCTCTAATTTTCTGACATAGAATTTTATTTACAAAGAGAAACAATAACTGAAGACTCATTTCAGTTAAGGATAAATATATTTAGAATAAACCATGTGAAGTGTTGACTTTTCTCTCAAATCAAAACATAATGATCTGTATTCTGGTCAGCGGGGTGTGGGAGTGGGAGAAGGGAAGGAAACAAGCTAAAACATTAGAAGTTTCTTTTTGAACATGGAACATCAACTGTTTTGGTAAGTTTGTGCTTCTGACTGACATATTCATGAGAATATCATATTTTTATCAATAAAATACCCCCTTTAATAAGTGTTTAAAAATCATGGAATTTGCTTTCTTAGAGAAGCTTAAGAAACTATAACTGTATATATTTCTAAACTGGTACT